CTGCTCTGCTGGTAAAGACAAACACCTGAAGATCACTTACTGTCATGTTATTTAAAAAACAAAAGTGAAGACAGTCTTATATTACTTAGTAGGGTTTTACTTACAGTACTTTTAATTTATTTTATTAGCTCAATTTGGTGATAAAAACTTTTAACATGTTCGTGTCTTTTCCGCAGTTAAATATTCTCAAAACTCGTATGAGTTGCTCGGCTGAAACATACATACGTGTAGGATTCAAGTTTAAGATATTTAATCCGATACGAACTAATCCGTGGAAAACTTAAACCGTCGATAAATGGAAGCGAGTCACGTCGCACATTACAGCGCGTCCAAACTCGCTCCTCGCACAAAACTGCTCTTTCCACATTACGAATTTATCCCGCACGGTGCTGGGAACTCCCGGCGATGTATCGGCGCGGAATGCAGCCGGCGCTATCGGAGGCCCATTATCATGTTGATACGCTCAACCCGTTTAATATTTCAGCCTTTGTACACGCGATTCATTTTTAAACTATGATTGTTCTCTCAATATGTATCGAAACTTTTATTTTTAAAAGCCGGATTGTAAAACCGATAATAACTGGTACACAGAGCGGTTTAATATTATGCAAGCTACTTTAGTAGCCCTTTATTACAGGTATATTGCACTAAATCTGTCCTGAGAGTGGTAAGAGATTGAAATTAGAAACTTTGTAAATAAACAAAAGACAGTTCGACTGTCTAGTAACTTGAAAGGCAGCGGTCATCAATCTCCAGTGTTCAATTGCTACTGGAATAACTAAGAGCCTTGAACTTCCCAGACAGTGCTCAAAGTGTTTCTTTCAAATTTATGCGCAGCTTAGCCTAGAACTGTTAAACAAACTAAATCCTGTATATTTATTTTAATTTTATTGTAGAATTTAAGCACTTTTTATGAAGTTAAACTAGAGTTTTTTTCCTGCGCATATAAAAGGAATAAAATTCAGCGTAAATTAAAACTAAGTTCTGAAAGACAAAACTATTTTAAAGAATATTTAAATATGAACAATGAATAAAATATAATTCGATAATAATTCCACTGTAAATTATTATAGTTAATTATTATTTGGCGTTATAGTTAGTTATAGTTAATTATAGTAATTATATTTAAATCGTAATTGAAGGAATGAAACTAAAATATAAATCTCTGTTGCATTGTACTTGGCCTATAGCTATTTTTATTTTTAATAGTTTCTTCGCAAACTACTTAACAATTACGCTTTACTTTTAACAATTTTTGTTTTTAAGTTCCAACGATAAGTTTACATTTTATTCATTCTTTTGCATTCGTAGCAATGACGCTGGAAAGTTTCCTGTTTCTCACTAACCAAAGTTGACATAACATTTTGCAATATTTCACAATTTTGTATGAGAAAAGGCTAACCGGCTAAGCGTTGCGCACTTCATGTTTGCTTACTGCGAGAGTTACCAACGCTCGTTAAAATGTTTTTAAATAAGAAATAAACTTTTAAAGTGTTAATAGTACAAAGGTGTACTTATAGATGTAAAAATTAGATAATTTCTTAAGAAATAACGTTTTTATGTCATATCTTTATGACGCTTCAATTCGATAAACATTTTTGATCTATTTTGTGACATCTCAAGAGATTTGTTCCTGTTAGTTTTATATGAAAATAATATGAATCTATAAAAATAATCTCACTTCCACGTACATATGTGGACGTGATCATATTGTTGATAAGTGTTGATAAGTGATCTTAAAGAATTCATTGCGTTTCCTCTGAGTGACGTACTCAGTTTGGCATACAATGGCCAGAAATGGCAGGAAACGGCAGAAAACGTCAAGAAACGGTAGAAAGTGGCAATACGGGTTACTTTTTATTCAGAGTATTTGATAAGTACTGTAAAGTTGCATTAAGTATTGACTTGGATTTAGAATTTAAAACATATCGATTGCGGCATGCGGGGGTCGCGGGGGGGGGGAGGTGAAGCTAGATGAAATATTAAACGACGTGTTTTTTTTCCAATTGCCCGCCCGACGAGTAGCTGAGGCGGTTGTAAAAATGATACGTGACTCGAACGAATGAAGTTTTACCAAGTCAGTATACGTGGTTAAGGAGTAAATAATTAAAAACAATTTAAATGGCAACTTTGAATCGTACTTGGTAATATATTTTATTTGTATTTCAAAATAAATTAGCAAAATTGTCCCATTGGTATAGTGTTGCCATAATTATTTATATTTAAATGTTGGTAGATAAAATAAAATCGACATCATATTATTGCGCTCGGCCGCGACTCTGATGGCACAAAATTGATCATATTTCGCTATAAATGCATTACACGCAGACATTACTGTATCCACGGCGCGGCGCGGCGGCGGCGAGGATTGCGGTGTCCATTTATAAAGGAAATCCGATTGCACTGGCTTCGTGCGTATGAAATTCTTTACTTTACAATTGTTCAATTATGTCACAGTAAAAATGATTTGGAATCTATTTATTTCATTTCCTTGCATATCCAGTTCAGATTCTGAAATTATCCGTAGTTTTCTAAATACATTATGAGCATTATGCTGTAGGCCGCTAATGATGTTCATCATCAGCTGTTAATCTTACGATAATTAAGCGTGAAATAAAACCTTTATCTGAATCATTAAAATGATATGAAATTCACTAGCGATCTTTTACACGATCCATTGCGTGTTCATTTCTTGTTTATTTCTTTTTCCCACTTTTATTCCACACTTTAGTGTCTCCCTCAAACCAGCCACTCTCTTCTCTTGCATCCGAATTTACAAATTATAAGGGCATTTTGTTTTCAGCCCTATTGCTGACGTGTATAGTTCGTTTTAGTTTAATCGTAGAATTTCCTGCAAAGTTTTTGCTTTTCATTGCGACGACGGAATATGATGCATAAATGTAAAATGTAAGGACAACTGAGTGGAGAGGGAAGCGCAAATGTGTAGCGCGGACTGGTCTTTGTCTTCGCCGTCAAATATTTTTTTTTCTCTCCGCACAGTGCTCTTTTTAGGATTTGCTGTAGGATATTCTGTTTTGTGCTGCAAATATTGTTGTACTTTTCATATCTTTTACTTTGAATATAATATGATTTATTAAGCTAGACGTTTCCAATTTCTTATTCTATCGAATTCTCGTTAAAATTTTAGATCCTTTTCTCAATTTGTGCGCAGTCATGTTAACTTTTTAAACAGGACTATCACTTGTGTATTTTGGTTCAAATAATTACTCTACTTAATAACCTGAAGTCAAGTCACCTAAATATTTTAATAGTTCAATTTTAATTTATTAATTTGCATAATCATATTTATGCGTAGTCGTGTACAAATTAATCTAGGAGTAACAACATTAGCTTTCGGCAGAGTTTAATATAATTTTCTCCAATGCAACATCGTCTTTGTTAGTTTGACTGGAAAGTTGGCTTTGTTTGGAAGATTTTGTCTACAAACAAGCTGAACGAAGTTTGTGATATGGTAAACTTGTGCAATAAATGTTCCGCGCTGATAAGAAACATTTGAAGAGCGGAGAATATTGTACATTGCTGTATATTTAGACATCTACAAATCCTTTTCCAATACTGATTTCAAGATACGAATAAAAATATATTATAAGATATTACCTCAATCCTTCCAATCCTTTATCTTAGAAATATAACAGAAATCAATATATATATAACATGATTATGTGATGTGAACTATAACATATGTAGTTAGAGCGCAGAACCGCATTATAATTCTGTATCGTAACAATTCAAGCAAGTGTCAGAGCGTATTGTTCCTCCGGGATGAGCGTATCGGCCACGCAAGACACACGGCGACTGTCCGCAAGAGATTTACGATTCAAACTGTACTTACAGCTTATGGGCTAGTTTATGGTCCCTAGAGTCATGCACGATGGTAATTGTACACATTCATGTCAATCTACTATCTACTAACACAAAGAATATTGAAATTAAATAAATAAAAAAAATGGTATTTATAAAAATAAACAAAATGATTACACGTTTATTCCATAGTCGTGTTCACACTTCGATATCTAATACTGTTAAATTATTATATATTATATATATACACCCATAGCTGAAACCAACACCAAACAACAAAATCCAATAATTTAGAAAATTTAAACGCTACATAAAATATTCATTTGCGAGCGTGTCGTTCCGTTCGGGTGACTTTAGATAAACAGTAAATATTTCGGTGGACTGCATCAAAGTGGACGATAAGCCTGGGATCCAATATCGACGGGCAAACAAAGGTTTACAAGAGTTTAGGCCACGCCCACGCCCACGCCGCTCGCTGCATATTCATCGCCGCCGAGTCAACACTGTAGCCTGTAGCTACGGAGTCCGGTATTTTTGTACCCTGAATATGTGCACGAAAAACTGATTGTTTTAGCTACAACTACAAATAGATTCATTCACTATCATTTCGTTAATATAATGGAATACTAATATGTTCGTGAAATAAGATCATTATTTTTAGGATAAGTACAACTTTAAATCTATAATAACAGAAATTAATACTTGTCTATTTATAATACCTTATTTCCAAATATGTACTAAGATTTGTGTCCTATTACCTTATTTATAACTGTAGTATGACCTCGCATAGTTGTTCTTCTTTCGTTAATTAAACATGTGTTTTTATTGTTTGACTTTTATCATATCAACTGGGTCAATCACCTCTCTGAACACATGTTAATTTTAAAGTTAGAGAAAAATCACCCCGTATAAAATGTTTGGTTGTAAATTAATTGGCTCCTAGCCTATACCGTACGCGTCACTTGCCGGTGGCCGTTGTCCGGCGAGCGCGCTGTGTCCCGAACATTTTCACCTGGCTTTAAATTTACATAACACCTTCACAATCTCACCTATAAAATGCTCTGGAAGTTTACTATCAAAATTTAATTCGGATCATAGCACATGACAGTTATATCAGTTACGCATAACCTTATTCTATATTATTACAATGAAAGATATGTTTTAATAAATTCAGATTGAATGCATAATAATATTTTTGCTTTAATAAATTTACAATAAGTTACAAATGTTATACAAATATTTGTATTTGATAATTCAATCCTTCGCCGCGTTCGCTCTTCAGTTTAATGTTAGCGAATGTGGCTCCAACCCCGCCCGCCGTCACTGTCGCCCTCGCTTTTGAGTTGAGGGAATCTATGGCTGTTATACCCTGGAACATTAACAATTTATCAGTTACGACAAGTGTGGTTGTATACGGCTTAGACAGCCCTAAATTGGGTAGCCTCTGAGCCTTTCGTTGGGGACATAAATAAGCTAACGATACTTTTGAAAATTTCACCATAAAATAAACATAACATTGCTTGTATTAAGGGTTACTTGACCATGCCATGCCACCTTATGATATAAAAAAGAACCATATTGTACAATTAACAACTACTACGAGTAAATCAAGATTTTAATAAAAATATTTTACCGTCTTACCTTTATTACTTTAGGACTCGTTTCGTTAGTGTAAAATACATTTTTCACGCGGACTTTAAATGGTACAGCGGATAATTTAACATTTGTGACGTAAGCCAACTGCCCGTTTACACTTGTACCTAAATTAAGATGATCAGTGCTTACACATCCAATGAAAATTACACCAAACACTAAGACAGACACTGACAAAGGAGACATTTTAACACTATTCGTGAGATCAATAAACGTCTTATTAATAGCGTAGTCGCGTGTGAAGATGTAGGAATCACTGTGTTTTATACTGGAGCAAAGTAAGAATTATCAGTGAGTGGTTCTGTGAATCATGTCTTCCATCTTATCATGACAACGCAATATCTATTGTCAATGTTATTTCTCAAAAACGAATACATTCCAAGTAATATCAGATAAAACTATTCGGATGACTTTATGATCAGAACATCTGTATTTTATTAATAAAAAAGTAATAGAATATAGTAATAATATTGCTCTTTCCAATTATCAAAGCAATTAACGCCAAGTCCTCTATTTTTGTTATCGTAATTAAAATTACGTAGAAATGCATAACTATCAATTAAATTTATGTGGAAAGACTAAGATTATAAATTAGTTCGTTGTACTTTTTTTATAAGAAAATTAAACAACAATATAAAAGCTATTTGTTGAAAAGATAATTTGAAGTCGCTTTTTTGTTTTTTGTTAACGTTAAAGGAAATTATTATGAATAAAGTAATAAGGTATTAAGTATTATAAATAAATATGGTTTACCTAATCAAGTTTATTGAATGATAAGGGGTAATTACTTTTCAGTTGTGTCAGACCGTTCAATGGCGGAGGATATAAAAATGCTCGGCCTCACATGACCAAAGGAAATAAAAATATAAAAAAAGTATTGTATTTGTATGTTGTTTGTTATAATATGCTTATAGATTTGAAAGTATTAAAAAGCATTCAAGGTCAACCTCACTGCAGTGTTTTGTCTCAGTTCTGGTTAATGTTTAGTTACAAATCTAGTTTCCATACTTAAAACAAACGGTTAATTTGAATAAAATTAATGCTACTTTATATAGGAAGATAATAATCATACCAATGCTAATAATTCTGAATCGAATAAAAAAAAAACAAATAAAAAGAGATAACGCTATTATCCATAAAATATGGCGACGTAAAATATTGCCGTGAGAAATTGTTTGGTGCTTTGTAACGGCTATGAAATATATTCAGAAGTAAATAGTCCGCACCACAAAGAGATACATCCTCTCCGAGATGGATACAGTGTACAGTGCGCCACGCAGCGCGGTCATTACTTTTGTTTTACGACGCGATAACGTGTCAGCACTTTATAACAAAACTTTTAGTGACTCTATACATCGTTTTAATAATGAATTGTGAACGAAAGTTTGCAATGTATCCACGCCAACTTTCCTAATGAAATTTTATTAACCATACATATTCATCTTACGGTTTTACCAAAACCTATACATATATGCAGTTTCTTAGGAACATAACGAAATAATAATACTGCTTGGAGATTTACTGGCTAAGATTTCTTCTCTTATGAAAGGTCAAAATTTAAAGAACATTACGAAATTTCTCAGTATTTAGTTGAATAGAGTTTTAAATGAAGAAAGATGTTTTCGCAGTAGAGATGGAAGTTTAAGTTTAATAAAAGTAAATCTTAAAGAGGTTGTTTTTTTTAGAAAGGTGTGTAGAGGAGCGGCCAAGCGGGGGGGTGGGGGGTGTGTGGACCGCGATGAATTATAACGTTATCATATAAATAAGGATTTAAGAGGGCATCAGAACAAATTCCCGCGAGACAACGCCACAGCTCACAGTATTATTTTACGTGCAATTTGTTTGTTTTTATTGCGTTCGTAAGCCCGAGCTCCGCCGGCATTAATATTACAACGCTACGGTGCCTGTGAAATTCGATATTTTTCATTTCTCCCCGAACTTTTTGCTATTGAGTGTACTAAGATTGCTTAGCATTTTCCGCAGCCACTTTCCACGATTCCTCTTCTCTTTATGTCATTGATATTTTATCATTATTATAAATTCTGTATTTTAAATAGAAATAATAAATTATAGTAATTAATAACACTTTATGTAAATGACACTTGAATTTGGTCGTAAAACCTACATTTTATTTCGTAATTATCAACCTTTTAATATGACATTTGATTGTAATGTACTTAAAAAGGGTGTAGGCAGGAGGGGTTAATAACAAAAACATGGGGTAATCAACCAAGTTTAGCTCTTTTCGGCAGCGCGAAGTGAAGTTACGGATAATTAAATAGTGATTAAGGCATTCCGGGTGTTCATACTGAGATGCTTCACGTATTTCACTGACTAAACAAATACTTTAGTATTATTTCAAAGAGTTATCCAGAGAGTCGTATCTGCTTCATAGACCAAACGTAACTTTACTTAACCAAAGTTTACTTTTGCATAAGAGTATTTTGCGTTTGTATAAGAAGCAGGTCCAAATACCTTTTCGTGACAATATTGGCGGATGTGGTCATATAATAATATCATACTGAATCTTATAAAATCAAACTTAATTTTTGATAATGTAATAAACATTACTTACTAAAAATAATACTAGCCTTATCAGTGTTCCAATGAGAACATTTACTTTAAAAGATGAAAATGACGGGCATGAGTTTACAGTTTCGTATGAACCCGACAATAAGAGCTAATTGGCAAACTGGCATATGTAGCAAAAATACAATAATATATGATACGATATGTTATTTATGTCACTAATAAAATGGGAGTATAAAGACAAATAGAAACAATTTAATTCTAAAAAAACAAACAACACACTAATAGTATATTATAATGTTTAGTAATTTTATAAGGTTCTATAAAAGGATACAAAATGGCAACAAATAAATGTCTGTATTCCCGTGAGTATCGACTAAACACCGTAATAGGTTCGCAGCGAAGGGCCAATGAAGTGCTCTACGGTTAGCCGAGCGCACTCGGCGGAAGGGCTCTCCACTGGAGACCGACATCGCCCAATAATAGCAATCGCCCGAAATAATCAAGTCAAATCTAAGCCGTTACAAGATAAAGTTAAGTGTATTGAGTGTTGAGAAATGTGTTTTAATTTATTGTTACATTTATTATTCGAATAATTTAAAAAAATGTAGTTCTTGATTAAAATAATTAAAGAAACAAAAGAATAAACAAGGTAACTTCAATGAAGTCATTAAAGTAGATGTCCAGTCCTTTATAAAGATAAGACATGGCTTATTAAAAAAGAACAACAGCAGGTAAACAAGTGAATACCCGATAACTATCTTGTTTGAGACAAAGGCAGTCGCTAACAAAAGCAGGCCGTATCGTTTTTTTATCCTGAAAACATCGCAAATCCTGTAGCGACTTAAGTCACAATTTCAGAGCGAATTATGTTTTTACATTTTTATTGTATTTGCACAATGTGTTCATAGTTATAAGATTAACCGTGGATTTCTGAACTCAAAATCTCCGTATAAAATATAGCGTTATCTTTGTAGTGTCGAAGATGACGATATGTTTTACACAGAGATTGTGGTGTCAGAATCTCACAGGTACTGACTCGGTCTTTTAAATAGTTTCGTAGTATAGATTAGAAATAATGTAACTTACGCTGAGGGAATGTCTCGGAAAATATTAACTGCCTGTGGTAGTAAAAATCTTACAACATTTTTAATTTAAATCTTGTTGATCAAACATGCCGATACTTCGACCACAACCTTTATCAAGCTTTGCAAGTTTTATAAAATAAAATACCACAAGGGGCCTATACCACTACACATATACTGTCGAAATCTTGAAATCTGCCACAGTTAGGGAACTTACTAAAATTATTTCCATTTGCAATAATTTTATAATAATTCAGTAAAGAGAAATGTCTATGTAATTACATAGTCTAGTATATCCTCTTGACAGCAATAAGCGATTAACTGTTAACAATAGGCTTGTAAATTAAGCTAAATTGATTATAACTTAGCGCTATTGTTGAGGTTCTCGCTACATCTCTTGAGCCGTGGAGCCGCGGTACTGAAGCCTTCGTGCGCGGCTCTCAAGTTCACAATAGGTGGCGCTGTCACCCGCAGCCGCTGCTCTTTACAACTTAAAACAATAATACCGACCAGGTTTCATTGGAGCGGAATAACTCGAAAAGCTGTATCGCTACTTATTTATACAATTGTGTACAATTTTATGTGTGTTTTACTTGCCTTTTAAAACAGAAGTGGTTGTCATTAAACTCGCCATAACAGAGTTTATGATCTAAGACCAAGCTGGAGTCCTCGATCCTAATTTTGAAACTTAGATCTGATATTGGGTTGTGATGTATGATTGTGATAAATCCTATATAAATCATTGGACGAAGTTAGAGATTTCATTTACAGAAATTCATTTTGAAATTCACAATTAAAATAGGTTGAACTTCAACGTGTAGAGGCTCGTTTTAAATCTTCCACCGTCGCTTTGCTATGATCCACGCGGAATGGCCTAATTAACTTTGAACACAAGTCTTCTTTTCACCCCGCGGGAAAATGTTGCTCGTAATTTTTCTGTGCCGATTTCTTTTGCCTGTATTTTATTATTTTTATAAAATTCTATAGACCCATAATTATATTTCAATTTCGTATATAACATCTTAGGTACAATGAAATGTTAATAAAAACTCACCACAGTTATTATATTAGCTTGGTATTTCATTTAATATTCTAACGTCTAACGTAGGTGAAAACTTCGATTATCTGAACATAGTAGGCCCAGGACTAATATTTGCGTCAAGCGCCTTCATATCGTCATTGTCAATTATATTAAAATTAGTATGAGATTTTTGATTTACTTTACGCCCGATAGGGAGCGCTGCAAAAAATTTAATAAAAAATTATTGTCGATGACGATACGATAACAAACAGTTTTAAAGTTTCTCAAATCGTTTTATGTCTATACAATTCAACCAACTACATCAGTTCAGTTTGAAAAAACCTGGCAGCCGACTCCGTAGACAATACATTTAAAAACAAATATTGATTTTTAAACAAATACGTGTCCACACAGAATTTGTTAGCCTTTGTTTAGCGCCTTTTACAGCTGAATACATACGTACGGCTCGTCTCTATGCAGATCGGCTATCTCATTTTACAGTCGATGTATGAAAATTGGCTACTGTTTTATTTATGTTCGAGTCTAGACCAAATGTGAACCAATTAAACTGTACGACCGAAAAGATCTATCAGTGTTGATCTTTTTGTTCTAAAGATGGAAACTTTGATATATTGTCATAAAATA